TAGACCTGTGCGGTGTCAAGAGTTGGACTTGATGATCCTTAAGGGTCCCTTCCAACTCAGGATATTCTATGATTCTATGATTCTATGATTCTATTCATTCATTTTTAGTTTTTAATACCTCTAGGCTTAGGCCAAACCTAAATCCCTCTAACTGCATTCGTTGGGGCAGTACACTGGTTAAGTGGATAAGTCACAGAAGAGCTGGAGTAAGCTCAGTTTGAATCTAATCAACCCAAATCTGAAGTATGGCAAAGCCTTTCCTTCCACTGTGTCCCTTTTCCTGCTGTCTGCGTTGCCTCTTTAGTTTCTGGAAGGCAGCAGCGTGTCTCCGTACCTCTGCAGCACAAGGCACAGCTGTGCTCCAAACCTGGAGGCACATCCAGAATGCCACATGGAAAATCCATTGTGCACTTGACAGGGCTGTATTCTGCCACCCTGCCTCACGCCTGCACGGTGCAACTCCATGAGAAATCCTGTCGAAAACCACAGGACTATTTGCAGAACAGGGCACTATTCAGAATGAACGAACATGGCAGAATTCCTCCAATTATTTACTTTTCATCAACACCTGAGAGCCTCTGAGAAACAGAAAGTTCTCTGAAATGCACACCCCCAGTATGAATACACACAGGGAGGGCGCACATGCTCCACCATGAAGAACCAGACCATTTTTACCCTTGCAGTACCCATAAGGATGCATTCATTCCTTGCTCTGCTTCTATCCTGGCACAAAATGGAACGTATTGACATCAGGTAAATTCTCTCCCAACCACAGAATCCCAGTGCTGCACCAGTTCAGTCTGCAGCAGGGCTCTTGGCTTGTGCTTGACTTTCATGCTTGATTGTATGGAGCCAGCCGATCCCCGTGGGGAGGTGGAGGTAGAGGTGAAAGCAGAAGCAGTAACAAGAGGGATAGTTCATGACTCCCAAACACTTTTTTTTAGCAAAGCTGATGCCAGAGCAGTGGCTACACAGAAACACAGAGCAGCTGCTGCCAGAGGAGGCCTTGAGTCAGACCTGGGTTGTGAACAGGGACCCGAAGTGAGGATTGTCACAGGAATTAATTTGTGAGTTTCTATCCAGACAAGTGACAGCACTGAGGGTCTTCCTCAGCCAAAGTTGAGAAAATGCCTAAATCATCTCTCTTGTGAAGCTTTAAGGAATTAAAAAAAAATAAAATAAAAGGAAATCCTCAGTGCTTGGACTGCATTGGCTACACTTGCTCGGAAGTCCAAGCACTGGTGTCACCAAAAAAGAAGGTAGCAAAAAATAGCCAGTGTCTAAATTTATGCATATCCTTAATAGAATAAAACGTGCTGAGTAACTCAGTAGGCACAGCAATGTGGAGGAAACTCCCTCACCTACGCAACCAAAATGCTGGTGATCATTCTCCCACAATAAGAACAAGTGGTCTGCTTAGGAGCTGCTGTCACAACCAGCAGCAGTCACACTGGGTGGGAGTAGAAGTCTTGAGTACATCTCCAACCTGTTAATGCTTGTGAAATAAAGGAGCCTCAAAAGGAGGCTCTCCTGACGTTACCGGGAGCACCTCCTTTTCTTTCATCACAGATGAGCAAGATTAAGACCCAATTTCACAGGGTGCCTGGCTCAAACTTGACAGCTTCCAGTTACCTCAAAACATGGTCCTTGTGAAATTGGGACTGCACAAAGAATGCCTGTAGAAGTTCTTTCCCTGAATCATGCTGGCGATCCCCCACTCGTTGGTGTGGTTTGGTGACAGACGTCTTCCTACAGTGAAGGGGAACTCAGGCACCGCCTCAACAACCCCAAAAGGAAGACGGATGGTTTATGACCTTCACATGCAGCATAGGAACTGACATTTCAGCTTGAAAGTAGTTATCAAGGTCAGTTTTAAAAGAGAATTACTCACATGAGAGCACAGACACACTGAGATCAAGAGAGCACAAAAAGAAGTGAAAGTGAGGAACTGTACTGTACGAGTTTCACTTCACTGGAGAGCTGGGAAGAACCGAAACAGTGCAAGGAGTTCTCCCTCTTACACACACAAGCTGTATGGGAAAAGCAGGCAGGGTGTATGTGCAGCTCCTGTGACTGCAAGGGCAGAACACAACATCAGCTGGTACAGTATTAACGTCAGTGTGGGCTATGGAAGAGGAATGCACAACACAATGAAACTGAACACACCGACCTGCATCGCTGAAGATAATTGAGTTTCACAAAAAGATTTTTTGCCTGATTTCTTTCTCTAGTGAGCAAAAACCATCACATATGTTATCGGTAAAAACAAAAAGTAACCCAGAACTCGTCCAAGGCTTTAAACCAGGCCAGGAGAAACAGGAGTTATCTGTCTTTTGAACAACAGCACCAAGCCACTGTGAATTTGCAAGTCATTCTGCTTGTTTTCAATTAGCTTCTTGCCATATTTTCACCATTAGCAACTATCATACATGGAAAACTTTACAAAGGCATGTATAAAGCACACCTTTTTACACAGCAGTCCAACAAACACACTTAAAAATTGCACGCAACTGAGTTTTATCCAACAGGAAACTAGTGTAAGGCTTTATATACTATCAGGTTCTGTGCTGCTTACTTACAGGCTATGGGCTCGTAGCTGTCACGGAGGAAAACAAAGAAGTGCGATTTACTTCTGTGCAACCAATCGCCTGCTGGTGTAATTCCACTTTAATCAATAGAGCTAAATGAGCATGAAAACAGAGTAATGTAGGCATACATAAGACCCTATGAGTTTAAGCATCACCAGCCTCATCGCTCATGTCTGCTAAATGCACAATTCCTACTGCGTTTCGAAGGGATTCCCTTTAGAAATAGAAGCTCTCAAGCCTGGTGCATTTGTCTGACCACTTTGCTGTATCTGAGTACCCCTTTTACACACTTATGCTTATGATGCATCTGTGTATCATTCCCCTCTTCCATATAGAAAAATTATGACAATAAAAGCAAGGGTGCTTATGTAACTCAATCATACTGAAACCACTGGAAGTTTGTTCCATTTTACAAGTATTTAGGCTCTTGTATCATTTGGATTAAGTCACTCAAGACTCTAGACAAGAAGGCCCCCCCCCCGCAGTTCCTATTTGTGGATTATTCCTAGACTCAGGAATGATCACCTTTTCCTACAGCTTGCAGCAACTCCTAGCACAATGGCTGATCACGCATCAAGCAGTAAGCACAAGAACTCTGCCAGCAACATTACTGGAAATCCCAAACCATTCATCAATTCGTATCACAAGAGGTTTTGCCAGAGCATCAGACCTCTGTGATATTTACACAACAATCACCTTACCCTGCAGATCCCAGCATGATTGATGAAATTGTGTTTTATGGTATGTAATGAGAGAGACTATGCATGAAAAACGCCTGAAGGCAGAAGCTATTCCCTTTTCAACACCACTTGCTCATAAACGAAAAATCCAAAGGAATCAGACAAGGATTCATAATTCACAACGTTTGTACTCATGTTATGAGAACAAAACAAGCACCCATGACTGACAGCTATCTTCTGTTAAAAGCTACAAGTTATCACCAGCAGCACATAAACACACTGTCAGTTCCTTTTTTTTGCTGTTCCTATGCTGTATTGCTGGACTGACATTAAAATAATTTGCTTGTCATTCACCCATCAGATACTTCTGAGCCAAGCTTACTATAAAACTCTACAAGCATAAGAAAAAAGCAATACAGTTACTGCTCGCATTCTTTACAAGATACCAAGCCCTTCATTATTTTACTTAAGATGTCCAAGAGATATTCCAACCACTTCATAAGTCCCTATAATTTAGAAATCAGGTAAAAATTAGAAATGACAACAAAACACCATACAGAACACTTTTTTTTTTTTTGACTTTGCATATTGTACTGAGTTTATATAGAATAAAAGGTCACAGAAGCAGCCGAGATAACTTTCCCATCCCAATTATATGCAAAACACATTTCCAAGCTGCTGGCCAAATACTGTGTTTCTAAAAGATTACACACCATTCTGCAAATGAAAGGTGTGTCCGTATGTTCATATCCGCTGTTGACAGGCTTACTATTCTCATACCACACTTAGGAAAACACAGTAATATTCAGGAGTCTGGTCTTGCAAAGCACTTCAACACAGGCTTAACGTTTAGTAGGGCTATTTATAAATGCTTAAGTTTTGCTGGACTAACAAGAGCACTTTGCACTTTCCGTAATGGACCAATTGGCTACCATCTGGAAGTGAAGTCTGCGGCCTGATGCTCCCTTGCCCTGTTGCACTTTGCTTAGCCGTTTCATACATGGTTTATGAATATTTTCAACAATAATCCTTAGGAACGGTATTTTATGCCCACGCATTCCAGGGATAAAAGATTTCAAGGCAGGGGAAGGAAACAAACACATCTCAGCTATACGCCTTTCACAGTTGGTGACATGCAAATTAATCAGCTTTCAACTTTTGCTGTAGTTGAGGAACCTGCGTGCCTGCTACCAGTTAAAATACAGTATTAACAAAATCCTAATTTTAGTGATCTTGAAAGACAACAGGTTGAAAAAAGAGTCATCAACATCACCAAACAAAGCAGACCCCGCATTTCTCGTTATAAATCTTTTTTGAAAGTTTTGTTGACTAGATCTGGCTGAGAAGCAGGAAAACGTGAATCAAGTTCATAATAATAATTCTTTATGAAAGTTTCAGTAATACAGCTTCTCTGTTTATTTCATGCTTTATGTGGTGCCTGGACTCTTCCCTAAACAAGCTTTTGGCTAACAGAGCCTTGAGCACAGATGGGTTTCTGACCTTATTTAGCAGGCATTCTCCTGAAGGCATAGCTGTCTGATTTTATAACATTTGATTCAAACGGTTCAGTGCCTTGGCCGGGGCATGTAACCCACTTTTTTAATGCTTGGTTCATTAGCAAAGCTTGTGTTTATTAACTGCACGTTAATTTTGCTTAACATTGAACTCCACTACCACTAATTATCTGTCTTAATTAGCAATTAATCGTGAATAATAAAAAACATTCAGTTACCGATTTCCTCTCTTGTTTCAGCTCCTGCACATAGCGTGTTAACTCTCCAGTGATAAGAGAGGTCATGTTCTCTGAAATGACCTCATGCTGTCCGGCATAGTCATTCATTTCATTTAAAGTGGCTAGGAAGGCTTTAGTTGATGTGTACCTGCAGAGGACAAAAATGCATTTGGCTTTTAGTCCCTTTGTTTTCAGACATCCACACTGCAAAGGGAGATTGTACCCTTCTGAAGCATTTACTATCGTTGCACGAGACTGAGTACAAATTAGCACAGGTTCACTTGAAAATGCCCTCAGAAGGAAACTGATCCCGCACACTGACAGTCTGATAAATTTATCTGCATTTCGACAGTTTGACATTGGCTTTTAGAACACAACACTTTGAGAAAGCCAAGTGTTTTTATCAGTACTGCTCTGGGACTTCACTGCTCTAATCTTTACTCAAACATTTTCGAGTTACCCTCTTGCAAGTCCTACAATTCAGTGCACAGAGTCAGTGAACTCTACACCTGGCAAAATCCAACCAACCTTTGGCTAGCACTGTGCAGAAAAGAAAACTTTTCAAAATGTTAATTGGATTTAGATTAGCTATAACTTACAAAGTTTTCCAAAAGACAGTGAATTTACTAACCAGGTGTTCATTGTCAAACCACATATTTTGGTCCCTTCCATTGCAAGGTTTACTTTTCATATTACTCTCCAATACAACATTCCACATGTTATTAAAAGGAAGAAGTGAACATCTGTGCACACAATTTCAAAAACAGCAGGTGATGTCACCAGCATATTGAGCACTGAGCCAACAGAGCTGCATTTAAATTCCCCTGCTTGTTGTACTGGTCAGCTGGAAGAACGCTGCTTTGAAGCGCTGCACTTGCACACGCTAGGAAAACTATTAATATTAAATGGTAGCAGTTTGCACAAATAACATCACCTTCAGGCAAAAATCCAAAGCGAAGGGGGGAGATTCAGAGGAAATAAAGTGGAGTGGTATGAAAGGGGATGAAAGGAGTTGGAGAAAAAACGGAGGGGGGGGAAAGAAGAGACCCAAACCATTAAAAGCAACCACAGTCACAGTCAAGCTGCAATACCTCAAGAGACATCCCAGCTGCAAAAGCCAGGGGATCCAACTACAGACTGATGATAAACTTGAAAATGCATCATTTTTAGACAGGCTGTTTCAATGCAGCGTCCAAGGCATCCAAAGGTCACATGACAACTCCCCAGACGTTAGAGACATGGGGACACTACATTTAAAAGGGCAAAGGATACACAGAGTCTTCTGTGTCACATTGCATGAGCTACTTAGCTCCAATATCCTTTTCCAGCAAAGGAAGATGTGCCCAAAAGGTTGTTGTAAACTAAAAATACCAGTTTATGGTATAGCTACCCAAAGACACATTTCTTCCTAACCCCAGGTACAGACCAACACAGCCAGTGTGCTGGTAATATGAGCTTCCTTGTGTAAATATCAATGTTTCAGGAAACAATGGCATCAATAAATGATTCCCAAACAGCGTTACTAAAAATCAATCAAAAACAAAATGAAAAGGCTGTTATCTTGGTTGATACAAACCAGCAGGGTAGCTGTACAAGCCAGCTGGGGAGGGGGGTGCTGACCCAAGAATTTAAATCAGTATAATAGTACAGTTGGACCTGAATCCAAACTCCTTTGAAGCGTTTCAAGTTTCAAGGTCAATGGTTCAACTCTGAAGCAGAGCAGCCTCCTGCAATTTAAGGCTGCAGGGTCAGAATCTTTTACAGTGCCTTTGCTCAAAGCTGATGCATTACAAAACAATGAAGTTAAGGAATTTTAGAAAAAGTCAGAGTGCTCCACAGAAAAGGCTACAACTCTGGCTTATAGCTTGTCCATTGGAAGGCTTCTCCTCTAGAAAGCTCTCTTTAATAATATCTTTGATCTCAGCAAGGGCAGGAATGTGTTGTGGTCTTTTTTTTTTTTTTTTGACATGGTTTACAGCCTTCCATATGCATTTTCAGTGTCACTGAGTGGAGGACCTGTGCTTTGAGACTGCAGTCACTATCTGCAAACACTACGTTAGTCCCCTGCCACCAGGGAGACAGTCTGAATATCTAAATAAACAGCAGGCACCTGAGGCAACGTAACATCCTTCAACAGCAGCAAGTCGTGTCGATCCACTCCAGGACACTGCCTGTTACAAGCTACATCTCTCTACCTTACTCTTCAAGAGACCCTGATTTCTCCTGTGGAGCTACAACACGATCTCTTTAATAACATACTAGACTGCCTCGTCAGTCCATTAGAGTAATTTAATACTTGCATGGACTGCTCAAGTTTCATGCTAAAATTAACAACTGCTTCTGTTCCTGCTGAAGGTAATTAGAGTTTGGTCATTCACTTCAAAGAACCAGCACTGTATAGTCTAGCTTGAAGATTTATAAGTACATTAGAAAAGACACAAAAGAAAAAAAAAAGGCATCTAGTACCCAGAACACATAAAAGCCTGCTTCTGAATATATGATCTCTCTCTTCTCTAGAGTTCAATGCAAGTTTTTGGTTTAGAAGCCAAATCCTTAAAAGTTATCTAACTATAGCTCCCCTTCCTCCGTCAATGAATGCTTACCCAGCAGTAGATCATGAACGTACCTGTACTCTTCCTCTTCTTTGGAGTTCTTTTTGGGTTGATATTTCTTCGAAAGGTTCCTAAAATTAAAAGCATATACAAAGTTAAATTTTAAATACCCTTTAAAATAAGTGGATGGTCTTTGCATGCACACAGTAGCACTTCAGTTTTTATTTGCACTGGCTAGGTATCTACCTTATCAGAAGTATGATCACAAAAGAAGGGGCCCCATTGTGCTTCCCTCTGCGTAACTGCAATGAATTAACAGGCTCTGAACCCAAGAAGTTCATAATTTAAAATCATAATGTCAATACACAATGCACTTGAGTCCTGGTTCTGCTGATGCACATCCCCTTTGCCCGAAAGAAACCTTTTATAACCCTTTTCCTGGCCCTCAGACACACAGAGAAGCTGTAAGAAGTCCCCCCAGTAGAAGGTGCTATTCCACACACAAAGGCAGGCAGCTCACGGAAGTGCGATTTGCTGCAGGAGATGATTCTGACCCAGCAAGTTTGCCTGTCTTTTGTGGGATGCTTCCAAGGAAGAGAAACAATCCTGGTAAAGCTCTGGGAAGCTGCACTGAGATGATACAAATGGGATAATTCTGTGATCGTTAACTGATGCTGGCAGAAATGTGAAATTTGATTATTCCAATTAGCACAGACGATTACATCTCATTACTACATATGCACCTAATGATTTCATTTGAAAATATTGATATCCTTCTCCAGTGATCTTATCTCGAGCAAGGAAGTTGAACCTATCTTGGTTAGCACACCTGAGTTGTTCTATAGCTTTCATTTTTCCTGAAAAAGATGACTGCAAACCCCTAGCCAGCAGCAAATCTAGGATTTACAGAACACATGCTATCCACCACTCAGCACACCTTGCTGATGCTTAAAACCCAGCATGATGATGCATATTTGGACTGTAGCGCAATGTAACACCATACATGATGCAAACCAGGGAGCTGCCACATCTTGCTTAGCAATTAAAACCTTTTCAGGGCTGCAGCACTGGGATGGCCTGCATTTTAAACTCAGCCTTGTTACTCTATGCCTTCCTGCAGCCTCTGTTACCCTACAGTTAAATAGAAACCACTTGGGTTAACTTTACAGATTGTTTATCCACTGATTCCAAGTAACATTTCAGTGGTACTGATGCAATCATTGACAAAAGAACTACTAAAATTCATTGGCCTATCTATGCTATTTTTTTTTTGAGAATTCCCAGAATTAAGTCTTTTCTTTCTGAAAAAGCGGTTTCTTTTCAAGTAGGTGTAACCCAATCCTTGCTGCATGCTGGTTTTACTGCTAACTGGGAGACAGCAGAGCCTCTTGCCTCACTTTTCTTACTCATTTTGTTTTCCCTAAGGAATTAAGTAGCATCAGCACCAACGGAGTTCTAGCCAGAGCCCTGGCAGACTTGGACAGCCATAGACTTGGACAGTTCCTCAAAATGTAAGTATCCCTCCTGGGCGGCCCCCAGATAAACATCTCCATTCCAGCCTCTGCCTTCTCTGAAAAGAGGATGCTCTGGAACAATGAACTTTTCTCTAGTTCTGCACACAGCAGTTTCCACCAAATATCAGCACAGCAACAATTCTGCAAACTGTTCTGCCTGATTACGTGTGGATAGGAATGCCTCCACACACCTGCTTGAAGAAGAAAGAAAAAAAAAAACAGAAGGAAACACATTGAAGACTAAACTAATAAGGTACTTTCATACTCAGGATGGACATCTCCCTACTATCATGCTGCCCAAGTAATTCTGACATACAAGGCTACAGTCTACTGAACCTCTAGAGGTACAGAAATGCTACTGGGTCAGGGTAAAACAACAGCAGACAGTACGCTTTCACAGAAAACGGATTTAGAAAATATATAATAAGGAACATAGAAAATAATAAAATGTTTAACCCAGTTACTAATCCCTATAATGCACTTATAAAAATGTACATGTATATCATATTTAACAGGGTTTTTTGATTTCTGTCTCCTCTTTGTTAATCAAAAAAGTATATAGGGTTTTAACCATGACGCCCACAAAAAAAACAGAAGTGATACAGAATCCAGAAGTGATACTTCATCCAGTAAGAGCCAATCTGACTCTCACATGTTGAAATTCAGCACCCAATTATGCAGTGTCAGGAGCAAAATATTGGCACTTCTCAGGTTCAAGCTTGAAAAGCAATGACACCTGCAAATCTAACAGCGATTAAAGCAGCAACTAACGCATAAAAACAAAAGATCAGCAATAAAATAGCAATTCTAAAAAGATTCTGTGCTAGCCTGTGCACCTGCCTCTGATTCACGTTTGTTTGCCTTTCCCTCTGCATCACTTTTATGCCTTTCTAGCTTGTTTCTGTGCTCCCTCATTTTCACTTCTGACACCTCATTCTTTCACACAATTATCCATCAGAGGCTCGTGATTCTCAGAGTAATAGCTTTGGATAGCCTTCTCTCTGACCATCTCCCACTTTGCTTTAACATTTTGTTTGCTTATTTATTTTCATGATTATGCTCTTCATGCCTAAAATTCATCACCCTTAGAAATTCAGTGGGTCAAGGGTGTGATTCTTTGTAAGACAGACTTGCTCACACAGGTAATCTGCTGGGGTTTCCCAGTCTACTCATGCTCTCTTCCACCTCACTCTGCCTCTGTAACTCAATCTCTTCTCATCTCCATAGGATGTGAGCAATTTGTTCCTGCACAACTTATATTTTCTATTTCCTGCTCGTCTATATAGCAGAAACTCTGGGAAATCCTTGTGGCATTCCCCTGAGAAAGCACATAACCGTGAAGGCAGGGCTTTATCAGGTACCAGCCTCTAGCAAATAATAAGCCACTGCCCATCTCAAAAGCCATTCAAACTAAAGCATCAAAAGTTCTGAGCTAGCTTTTTTTTTTTCTTTTCTTTTTAATAGACATTTTGCTTTAGGTATATACAGATCAGCTAGAAGCGCAGATCTCAATCTCTATAAATACCAGGAAGACGGGAGGAGATTCTAATATGTATTATAATCATGCAGGGGGAAAAAAGGGATGGATTTACTGGAGGGGTTGGGAAGCATTAGTCCTGTACTCCCCCTCCCAGTTAGCTTCCATCCCCTTCACCCCTTCCACTTAATTACCCTGGGCACTAGTGGCTGCCAACTACGTTGCATCATAGCCTCTCCGCAACAGCTGGGCTGTGTGCTGTGCTCCCCACTAACCCTTGTTCACTTCTCTTCTGCCCTTCTGGGGAAAAGGGTAAGAGCTACCCATTGTGGGGTGGTTCTTCACGCCCCTTCCCTCCTCCCTCTTCTCCATTCACAGTGGGTCTGACCTCAAGGAATTGGTTTTCAGGGTCTGGTTCGCTTATACTCATATCCTTACGTACAACCTGGCGGTCAACCCAGAAAACACACAGAAAGAATTTCCAGTAATTTAGCTACTTCAGATAAATTCCAAGGACCTCAGCTCTGTTCGAGACACATTGCAAGAACATTGGCAAGACTCTAAAAGTGTCAAAATTCAAATCTTAGGCTGCAATATGACTGTAGACTAAATTTCCACGTGCCGAGACTGACTTTCTGACCTGCAGTTTCTTCAACGCCAATTCAACTAGAGGTTGAAGCGTTCTTTTCTTATGAAAAGAAACCCTAAACTTTGTCCTGTAACAAATTATTATTGTGCTGAATTCTTAAAACCTTCAGAATTCCTGTGCAGTCCTAATTTCATGGAAAACATTACAACGCTACCCCAAAGCCTGAGCCATTAACCATGAGTAAATCACGAGTAAGCCCTAGTGTGCTATTCAGTCACCTAAATACCCTTACTTTTACAAAGCATATGATGTTTAGCAGAGATAAAAACCAGCATGTTAAATTAATTTTAGCTTTCCATTCTTTAAACTAAAGCTATTCTCCATCTAAAAGCAATCATTATAAGCTATACCAATTACCACCACTGTAACATGAACTTAGAGATGATTACAGGCGCTGAACAGATTCAACTCCAAGTCCAGAACTTTGCATATCAACTTACCTAAGCTGCTTTGCATAGCTGAGTTCAATCTCTGTTCTTTCTTTTACAAACTTGATGTATTTTTCCAGAACATCAATACCCCATTGCGTGTGTTTTTCTAAATTGTCAAACTGGTCCTGCAATGAAGCAAAAAAAAAAGTTTAGTCTCATTGAACATAGAAATAACTAAAAATAATTTCCAAAGTACGTATCGCTACAAAGTGGTATTAATATTTTCCATTGCCACAGTTAGACATTTTTATAGCAACGCAGGTTTTTTAAATCAACAGAAATCTATATTTTAACATGAGGCCAAGTCAGTAATGCTCTTCGTTCTTCATTTCTGAATCACTTCCATTTCATAAAATTCTGGCAATTTAACTGAACACAATTTTCTAATATCAAGACATACCTAGACAAATGATAAGAAATGGATCCTCTTGTCAGAATTTTATTGCACTCTAAGAGTTAACAGGAGTTCCATGAATTTGAGGCCTACTCCTAATTAATACTTCTAATATTAGTCTAAAAAATAATTTGAATTCAGCCTTTGTCAATGCTAAGAATTTAAAATATCTCTTAGAAAAGCTAAGGCTTTCTACAGAATAGGACTTACTTCCCTCTACAGCCTCATGATTTGTTCAAAAATAGAAGACATGCTAGCAAATGATGCCACAAAATTACATTAGCTATGTTTACAGCAATTCTTCTTGTCTATCTACTTTTATATACAGATGCGACTTTGTTCTTCAAATATCACTGCCCTCAAAAACACAGTCACACATGTTTTCACTAAAGTCTTTTTCAATCAAGAACATTCCACAAGTCAGTTTGGGATTTGCAAATGCCAAGAGAAATTAAGCAACTCTAAATCCAAATTAATTATCCAAGCCAACTTATCATTATATAGAGTTAACCTCAAATTACTTTTAATATTTTTTTTTCAAATATAGCTACTTTAACCATACTCATATTCCATAGTCATCCATTCCATGTAGCATTTCAAAAGTCACTGTTTCTACAACGCTTTTAAATTATGTTTTAAGCAAACTTGGTATCTTGATATACTGCATACTTAACCCTACCGAAATGCAATGTAAACAAGCTATTTAATATCAGCCTGAATGACTTGGCATCAGGTTCCATTCTGTATTATGTGGAAAGCAAAGAATAGATTTTGTACATCTGTGGTACAGAAGTTAGATTTGCAATGTTTTCCAAAAATATCTATACACTCAGAGATTTAGGTCAAATGCTTAGCTGCCATAATTAAAGCTTCCAACAGAAGCGATGCTGCTTTCTATCTGTCGTGTGATTACCAGTTTGTAGGGCTATCATCAAGCGTTATCAAGGTGCTATAAACCCACTTCCTTAGATGCACAAAGCGAAAAAAATAACAAGCCTACTACAGAGCCTCGTTTCTGACTCTGCTGCTTTTAAGCAAATACCACTTTGTGTGCTGCAGCGTTTCCGGTTCGGACAGAAAATGAGATCGTATCAGGAGAGATTCTTCCAGTGCTGAGCAAGACAACTGCACACAGAAGCTGCTGCTTGATAATGAAAGCATATTAAATGCATTTTGAAGGAAAGAAATCAGAAATGCCTTACAGGAAGAAAACTATCAAGAAACCAGTTAAAACAGCAGGTAACATGCACGGGGCTGGACACATCGGCTCTGGGTAGCTGCACGGTTGCTCTGCTTTAGCATAAGGGACTACTTTAAACCCATCAGCCACAGCAGACTAGGCTTCAGTTTAAACAATGTCAGTTTTAGACAACGAAAGAGTCACAGGGCAGGGGGAAACAGCAAGGGGCAATCGTGTACAAGTACCAAAATAGCAAAGAACTCCTATGATGCCCTAAGACCCGTGCTCCAGAAGCCATGGAAAAAATGGTTAAAGGCAACTAAAAAGAAGGACTCAGACTGCACAGAATAAAACTCTGATATCCAGCAAAGTAAGTCACCCTTAAAGCAAAGTCATGTCATGCACTCAAAAAGAGGATGTCTGTATTCTGCAGAAGGCAGAGGCATGTACTGTGCCGGCAGGTATTTGCATACAGACTGCACAGCCAGGGAGAGCACAGCGATGCCGGGGTAACACACACACCTTTCCTTGGCCTGCAGGGCTCCCAGCAGTGCCTGAGGACCACAAGAGGCAGCTCCTGCTCGGTTCCCAATATACAGCCTCTAAATCTCACAGACTATGCTGGTGTCGAGAAAGTGCTGCAAACATAGCCTTCGTAAGGGTTCTGATAAAGAGGCCGCCTAGCTATCCCACGCTCTGCTCTTCCACAATTTACATTATTTAACATAAACACATGCATATAAAATAAATACCCGGCAAGGCAGTCCAGTACCCACAAGTTTACATATATTCACACACACTCCCAGCTTTGAAAAGGGAAGTCTTAGGTAGGGAAATCCAAGTGCTAACCCCCCGTAAGCAAATCAGACCACTCTTCTCAGATGTTCTGTACTGCTAGCAAGAAACTAACTTGCATCTTACTGTAACCCTACCCAAGAGTAAAGGTCACAGCTTCCCATTAGGGAAGAATGCCCTTTGAGGAGGATCGTGCCCTTTGAGAGAATTCAAACTGTGCTAAGTGCACGGAAAGACACCCTGGAAAAGCAATCTTGGTAGTGGCTTGTTATTTTCTGAACGAAAATCACCAGCAGTACAAGCCTCTTCCACCACCACCTCCCCCCCCTCCCACCTCAGGCTCTGTTCTCAGAGCATCCTTTAAAGTAGGAAAAAAACCTGCAGATGACTCCAAGAAGCTAACACGGTCTGCTCTGTGGTCCTTTGGATCAATCTGGTGGGCTGTTTCAGTGGCCTCACTATGTCACGTCTGGAGAAAGAGAACTCCATGCTGTGCAGAGGCGAACACAGCGTGCTGCTGCTGTCTGATACACCGTGAGAAGATGCTAACTTTCTATTTATAAAGCGAGGAAAGAAACTTGTGTCCCACAACGAGTGGTAACTAGAAGAACCTTGACCAGATGAAACGATGAGCACTAACCTCTGCTATCAGGCAAGGTGAAATATAGCTCCTTTCTGCAGACTTTGCTAAAGATAGAGTTTCTGTCCTTTTCCGGGCATTGAACAGTTTTGGCCTGAGTGTCATTTCACTGAACTGCCAACGCCCTGCAATGATGTGTTATACTGGGGTCATGTGCCCCATACCTTCAGTTCTTCTCTGTGCTCCTTAAGGACGAAATAAAGTCAGTAAAATTGAGAGCATGAGATTTGAAAGGAAAGAATGCAGCCAGAGGGGCCTACACCATGCATGCCCTCCTCGTGTCCCGCATCTGCTCAGCAAGCTGAGGGTAGGGGATGGCTCTACTTTAAAGCTAATGAAATCTAATGACAAATGAGGGTACACAGAATGCTTTGGTCATCAATTTAATTTACAGAATTCCCAAATCGCCAGTATGTGCAACCAGTACAAAACCACAGTCTCTAAAAGGAGATTGACAGTAATCATCAACAATAACATGCCTTTAAGAAATTAACAATTTTAAAAAGATTTAAAAGGCATTTGTTATTTCCAAAGGTCACCACAAAAATACATTACTACTTGGAATCCGAAAAGTTAAAAAACCTCTTCTGTTCTGTAGAAAATTTGGTCTAGTTTCAGTATCATGAACAATGAAGTCTTCACCCTTCTCCATAACAGACTGCTTCCCATAAGAAGATTTCCCATAAGTAGGTTGGGAAGGGAAAAAATTGAATAAATTTCTTCAAAAGACTCCCAGTACTTCAGTACTACATTTCATCTCAGTTTTCACTGAACTCCAGAATCATTATATTGCATAAAACAAGCACTTAAAACAAGTAATTCCAGTAAAAATGGTATCATGAAGAGGGCAGAGCCAGCAGTAGGTCAGCTAGCACTTGGGCTAACCTAAGCACTTGTAGCACCAGGTGTAAGCGGCTTCTTGTACTCCAAGAGCAAAACTTGGCGAGGGTTTCCAAGCCCAGAGCTCAATAAAGGTATCAAGGTCCCACTGAAAGCCTGGGAGAAGTATCTACTTTACAAAAAGGAGCAAGAGTGGAGGGTGTGAGGATTCCCATGGTGTTTGCACAACCAGGAGCAGCCTGATGGCAGCAGTACGGGCACAGAGCTGGGTGCACAGGAGCAGGTTACACGCGCTGCTACGGCTCGACGGGGGTGCTCAGCTGCTGGAAGCTGGCTCAGATCCCTTGATGAGCTGCTGCTTCAGCTCTTCATTCCAACCTGCACATCTCTGTTTCTTTTCTGCAGTCTTCTCGCCCTCCCACTCAGAGGGCGTATGAAAACAATACATTCCACGAGGCCTTTAGCACTCTTTGAGAAAAGTGAGAAAACAAGATGAGAAGCTTGGCGAGGTGCTCAGCTCCCACCAGACCACAGGGTGGGGAGACAGAAGGGCACTTTGTGCCTATTTTCTCTAAACCCAAATGTTTTCTAGAACAGTTTGCTACTTTCCTCTGACTCAGAGGCCTGTTTGCATACAGAAACACTCCTGAGCAAAACACAGTAGTGACAAACGAGGTGTGTGGCCGCAGCCCCCACGTTACCATCTGTCCTTTGGCCTTCCAGTGGGCCAAATCGCATCCTCCTCCATTTCCGAATCCCCGTGCTTCCTCCCTGTGGTACCAAGAGCTCGCTAAAGGAGACAAAGAGTCCTGAAGGGTGCTCAGGAAGCGCACATCATGAGAGTGCTCACACAGCTGGGACTTGCTCCTCCGTTGGACCCCAGCAGCTCCCACCAGCAGTGCCACTTGCCAACACAAACACCGAGCCTCCGCCGAGCGCCGGGGAGCCGAGCACACGAGCTGAGCCACCCGGCTCCACGTGGGTGGACAGCACAGCCTCTGGCTGCGAGCTGCCGCAAGCAAGCTGCGTCTCCGCGTCTCTTCAGTGCTCAGCATCTTCTCGAGCAGCTAGATAAAAATGTAAACTCCAAGGAGGAAAGAGCTTCGTCGGTAAGCTGAATGGGAACTGGGCATCCAAATACCCAGCGGGCTTTGAAAATTTCATTCCTAAGGCAAAAGTGTTTCTGACTTTGTTTCTGTTTCCATTAATTCCCTCCCAGTATTTTTACCCAAATAACCTCATGCTCACGCATACTTTCTGAAACTCAGCTGCAGCCTTTTTACACTGACAATGCTTAAAATGGAAATGGTCCTGCTATTTGCTTTTCCTTGTTTTAGCTGCTACTTTAAGCTGTCAAATTCCCTCACTTCTCAAGTATTCTCCTGAAGTCACATTCATCAACATAGCAAAGTATTTTGGGAAGAAGAAAGTTAGCCATTAAAAAAACCCTCCCTCCATTCCTAAGCCACAAAACATGGAGTACAACCAGTTATTGAGCAATAATGTTATTCATGTGGTCTTCAGGGATCAGGTCAGTAAGATATTCCTAATTCTTTCAAGAGCACTTTCATCTATTGTGAAATCATTCAGCTCAGGGCTCATTCAAATCCAGGGATGGACGAGACCTTCATTTTCACCAACAAACCCAGAGGGGGCTGCGGGAGAGCTGGGGAGGGACTCTTTGTCACGGGGTGTGGTAATAGGACAAGGGGGATGGCTTTAAGCTAAAAGACTGTAGATTCAGATAGGTTTAGATATAAGGAGGAGAATCTTTACTCCGAGGGCAGTGAGGCCCTGGCCCAGGCTGCCCTGAGGAGCTGGGGGTGCCCCATCCCTGGCAGTGCCCAGGGCCAGGTTGGATGGGGCTGGGGGCAAAGGGCTGGAACTGGGTGGGCTTGGAGGTCCCTTCCAACCCAAACCATTCAGTGATTCTATGATTCTGGGAGACTTTGCCAGTAAATTCTGCAATTTTAATCATTATGTCATCTGTTCAAACCTGCTCAGGTTAGGGTTAGGTGTAGATGTAACCAAGCCTAGCTGCCATTCCTCCTGCTGCTTCCACAGGTGGCAGCGCAGGAGCTGGGAGTTAGGAACACCAAAACAAAGCCAAGTGGGAAATTTGAATGCTGCAAATTCAGATGCTAGTAACAGAGAAACAAAGCCTTTGTATTTAGCATAATCCTCCTATATTACTAAATCCTGCAACATAATAGGAAAACCATGATTATTAAATGTTAAAAACATTTAAGACTTTCTACTCTCTCACTCTCTGGGGAATTCCATTCCATCTCCTCCAGAATCCACTCTCCTAAAAATGTATATTAGAATAGGGGAATTGAATGTGTTTTTCCCCCTCTGGTTCATACCTACCCCTCCCCCATTGATTTAAAAAGAGGAAACGTCCGTTTCTATAGAAAAAAGGAATTAAAAATCAAGAACATTAAAGTAAATTAGTATTTGAATACTGTAAGTATATTTCAAAAACTTCAAATTAGATTAAAAAAAGGCTGATGAACCCTGCACAAGCTCAGTTAGGTCCCGTATGGCACGATGCAGTGCTAGCAGAACACGACAGGGTTCAGATGCACAGGTTCTCGGAGACCTACAATAAAGCTACATGCAAACGTAGCAGTCTTCAGGCAAACTAATAATGCAAAACCAAAAAAAAACAAACATGAAGTACAAACTACCAGTGCAAGAGCCTTCAAGAGAGCAGAGGGGAGCAGAAAATGAGAAAGCACAACATTTGTTGGCTCAGCCACTGCCGGCAAGAGACCACGTCCCACACAGAACTTGTCGGCTCTCGGCAGCGAAATCCTCAGCTAACGACAACTGAACAAACATCTGCGGTGATCCACACCAGGCATTTAAAACAGTACTGGACACTGACCTTTGGCTTCGAGCAGCACAAATAAGGAGGACTAAGAGCACCAGAGAAGACAGACCGACGAGAAGGGGAGAACATCTCTTTTTGGTTTACACTGAAGTGGTGCTGTGGCTTTACCGGCTGCTTTACGTGGGTCGTGGAAGGGTTACATTAGTATATCCGGTCCTCACTGATAAAACCATTTACAATCACATTTTTCCTTCTGATTTCCTATTGATCCACACTTAGTTTCGTTTTAACCTTTAAGTATTAAATTCTTCATGACCTTCCACCTTAAACAAGCATATTTCCACCTGAAATATGTGGTAAGTGGCCCAGAAAAATCCAATCGGCTCTCCCCACCTCCATTTCCTCCTAATCTCCATCCTTAACTCATTTCCCATAAAGACCAAAAGTTTTTTTTTTTATTCTTTTCCCTCTTCTGATGCTCCTCTGAACTTGATCTAGACAAGAAAAGCACAAACAAGATTCTACACTGCATTGTTAGACAACCGAGTGCGCTTCAAACTTGTGGGGAAAAAAATCCCACAGATCAGGAGTGGAAACAGATTATGGCTTATGTTGAAATATCCTATATGTTGCTAGATGAATTCACCTCCAATTGTCCAATATTAACATTAGGAATTAAGCAGCCTGCCTTCCAGCCTTGAGATGCTTTCGATTTTCAGCACTTTTGTGCCAGGTTTAATTTAGGGTTTAAAAATCATCTTGCCCCAGTACAAGAGCAGGGCCCTGTGCAAAGGGTGGTGATGGGGCATCCCTCTAATTGCTGCTGAGACCAACCACACACATCCCCACCCCAAAAAACACCTTCCACAAACTCAAGAGTGACCCCTCCTGCCAATTAAGCAGAAGTGCCGTCTCACGTGCAGGTTTTGGCCATCCCCTAACAGAAATCTGACTGAAGGCAAACAGGAGGTACTTCAGAAAAAAGCCTCTGAGCCCACAGCCCAGGGGCCAGCACCAGAGAGCACAAGGAAAATCAGAGTCCCACTGAGCCAGTCCAGGTCCAGGAGCACAACAAGACCTTCAGGGTGTACAGGGAGCAGGTTGAGCTGTGCCATCTGCCAACCAGACCCACCTGCAGGAAAGCTGTGCGGGTACATCCCCACCCACCGCCACGTGGAGCTCGTTGCT